TGGCATTGATATCGTGGAAATTGTTAACATATGGACAGACATAGTAGGTTATGGCTTCGATGTTGAGGAGGATACAACTTTTAATGGAGAGCATCATGCTACACTCGAAGGATACATGTAGGCTGGTATTGTGCCGAAGCTAAAGAGGCTTAATGCCAGGCTTACACAATACACATAGTTTGGTGTGGACCTGTTGATTATGGACGTGTGCATCATGTTTTATATTATGACTTATATATTGTTCCAGCAACCTCATAATCACAGGAAGGTGCTCGAGAATGACCTTGTTGTGATGTGGGCCATCAGACACAATTTGCAGGTCAGCTAAAGACATTACATATGCTGTATCATGTAGCATGCTATTAGGAAAGGTTCACATCCATACGCATTCCTTGTTTAGAGGATCTTGAAGTGCTTTGGTGTACCTATGGATACTAATAGTTTGAAGGGGCTAGAACTCCAGATTTGGGAAGTGTCTTCTAGGGCAATGTGGGGTCACAAAGTTAAGGGATGTGTGACAATGGAAGACATGTCCTGAGACTAAAGTCCAGATGGAAGAAGGGGAAATGCGGATGCTTGAGGTTGATGATGGTTCTGGTAATAATGATGATGGTGCTAATGTGGATGATATGCATATGTCGGATATGGATCCACCTACTTTAGCTGGTGAGGTTTGATACACCTTAATGATGTCATGACATCTATCTATGGCTAGACACAAGAGTTAAGGGGGTATACGCATAGATAGGATTCAAGATGGACTCATATGGAGCATTACCTTACCAGACTCAAAGATAGGATAGGTCGCTTAGATGTTGGATACAAACACACTCTTGGGAAAGTGGATGAGTTTGTTGTAGCGGAAGATGATGATGACGAGGAGATACACTCATAGTAGTTTAAGGTTGTTTTATGTTTGTATTGTTATTTTACAATGTTGATGTATTTTGATATTTGTTTTGTATGGCTTGTACTAATGTATATGTACTTAACTTTTTATAATGATATTGATATGCAGCTAGTTTTCATTTGTGTATCTTCTTTTAATTTTTGCATAATATTATGAAATTCACCTTAATGTTCATTTTGTCACCTTAAGTCCAGAAATAGGTTCATATAACATTACAATCATTTTTGTATCAATCACGAACCAAGTTTTTTAATAATATATTGGAACTAACAATAAACCTTGGTAGATTTGCCTTGAAATGAGATCGGAACCATCCATAATTTTGTGAACCCACAAAAAATCTCATAGTTACAAATCTAGGGTGGTCAGTTCACTGGCTTACTCAAGTAACTCAGGAATCATTATGAGTTACTCGAATAAGTCAGTGAATTGAGCATCCTAAATTTTTTTCACACATTACTAAAAGAAAAGCTAATTTGCGATGGAATTTCGTCCTGACAAATTTCATTTGTGGCATAATTTAGTTGTTTGCGGGATATTGCTCGTCACAAATCAATTTTTTTTAGTAGTGACTAAATATTTTTGATCCAAATGAGATTTTATAGTCATGTATTCTTATATTTAGACTGGGGTGGCCCTTTGTGGGTGCAATACACCTATTATTAGTACTTATCCAAACCAAGGTACAAAACCATGGTCGGGTGAAAGTAAGTCTTTTGGGGTTGAAAGAAAGATGAAAAAACGAGTGGGAATTTGCAATAAAAAACATATACGACGAAAATGTGACTGAAGCCCAATATTATAAGTTTCTGTCCGACAGTTACGCGAGTAAGTGTCGGTCAAACATGAGATAACAGATTGATATATAATTTTGATAAAATGTTTAAAAAAATAGTTTAAAAAGAGGGGCAAAGTAGTAAGTTTTTTTTAAATACAGGGCACAATGGTCAACATCCTATCAATTGAGAATAATCATAATTTATTATGAAAGAGAGAAAAATAAACATTAACCATTAGTATTTTAAATTTATTATCCTACTGATATGCCTATAGATCAATTTTATAATTTTATTATTCTCCATTGTACATCAACTTTTATTGAAACATAATAAATCATACAATTTAGACTAGATTACTTTTTTCCCCCACTTTATTTATTTATTTGTTTTTATGATAATTATTAATTGGTAGTGCATGTTTTGATTGCTTACATGTACCTTAATAAAAAATATTTCAATTTACTAAAAAAAAAAAGGCATTCATATTAAGATTATAGAATTCGCAAGAATATTATGTAAAGTGGGATTTTACATAATTCGCGTTATAGGATCTAATTCCAAAACTGAATCCCCAAGTTAATTATATTCCATGTATGAATATATGATGCTACGTAGAAAAGGGATATAATTAAGTCCACACGATCTTTGATTACATCAATCGTTTATGACTAATTAGTACTGAAAAGGAAACCAAAAGAAAAGACCAAAAGGAAGATTAGACCACCTATTATTTAAATCACAAGTGGTAGTCAAATCGCATATCGTGTTCTCATTCTGTATCTAGTACGATGAAAGACCATCGTTGCTCTTTCCTGGTAGATTCATCGCCAAGTCATGAAGCAAGTTACTTGCGTAAAGCCAAAGAATTTTAGAATTTTTTTGTAGTTTTTAATAATATATTTTTCTTGTAATTATTAAAGTTTGATTCAGTGATTGCCGACAAAATATAATCTACTACTGGTTCACATGCCACATATAACTGGACTTCCTTGTATCTCGTGTGAAAACCTGAATCAAATATTATATATTATCATTACAAAAAGTATAATTTTGATGTAAAAAAATTGTGTTATCATTTAATAATGTATTAGCACATCATTTAATGAGTTTTATGTTTTATGAATATTAATATAATCAAACTAATTAAAAGACATATTAATACATGTTCGATGTGAACACCAAATATAGGTTCAATTCTATGTGTCAATATGGTATGGGTGAAAGCAATCTCCTTTTCTCTAATTATGTTATTCTTATATTTACATTAGTCTTATTGAACGGTTATAACTACTGAACGTGGATCAGTGGTAGAGATTAGACGCAATATCGTGGTAGTTAGATGAATACCATTTCTTAATGTTATTTATAAAATTCTCAATGACTTCATTAAAGATTAAAATTCTCAATGACTGCATTCTTGGGGAGGGGGCTGAACCTTTAGCCATCACTGTTCCCCCCGCACTCCGGATTAGTCCCATAGCCGGCTCAAAGAGTCGAAGCTCGTGGGGATACCGGAGGGAGCCAACTCGTTTGAAAGAGATAATTAGGGTTGGGTAACTCCAAAAAAAAAAAAAAAAAAACTAATAATGATTAGAATTTTTTATTTTTGAAAAGGAAAATTGTAAGTCACAAAACACAATAAAATTCTTTTACTTTTCTCCATTATTATTTAATGAAAATATATTCGTAAAATTTGGGTTTTGCAAAATAACCGAACCGAAAAGAACTATTTTTTTAAAACCAAATTTAAGAACCGGTCGAACTGGTTTTATAAATTGGTTTAAAAATTAAATCAACCAAAAGAATGTATTTGAAAAATCGAAAAAACCAACCGGATTTATTTTAACACAAATAGTCAGAATAATTTAAAAATTGTTAGAGAATAATATAAATAATTAAAAAGGTCCTCACCCAACATCTTAAAATTTTGGGTTGAAATAGTTCTTTAGATGATATCAGAGTTTGTGTTAGAAAATAATATAAAGCATTAAAAAGATAAATTATAACATTTATAGAATTGATTTGTTACTCGAACTTTTTCACTAGAATGTAGCCAGGTAGCATCCAGTTTGTAGATTTGTATCGTTTAATACACTGTTGTTGTTACTCCATAATTGCTCGGTAAGTAATTTAAGGTATTATTAATTAGGTTAGTTAAAAATTTGGTACGAAGAACTTTATTATTTTTGTGATTTTGCGAATCAGAATAATTGGATAATTGATGATTTAGTAGAGAAAAAAAAAATTTAAGGCCGTGATATTTACAATCAAAAACTCACGTTGAATTGAATTCCATCTAGCAGCCATTACATACTCACAATAATTTGTTTTTCCATCAAGAAAATAATTCCATATTCAAGTACCTATAATTTATGACAACTTGTTCTGTGTCATGTGTGACCATAACATTAGTATATACATCAATCCCCTTGACGCGCATAAAATTCACTTAATTGTAATGAGTACATAAACTAAACTTCCAGCAGATTAACAAAGAAGTAGGACAAAAAAAATTATTTCTCAGTTTCCACCTCCCTTCTTCATTGAATATAAAAAAGAGAAAGAGAAAGAAAAGCACAGCGTAGAATGTGTGACGGAAGAATCTAACTTGGGAGATTATTTATTGTGAGCCTGAGCACTATTTTTTAGGTGGTCTCTTAGTGTAAATAAGAGGATAAAATTGAAAAAGAGAAAAAATAACAGGGATAAAAAGGAAAAGAAAAAATTGATGATGTGAGAGGGAACACTAAAAGATTCAGTGGTCCTGAATCATATTAAGTATTTTCCTAACTTGGGGCCAAGTGTACAAGAAATTATCAAAATTCGTGCTATTTTCTTTTTATTTTTTATTTTTTTAACAAATAATGAGACTTACCACTTGCCGTGTCTATAACATGAGTTAGATATTATCTCGTACCATTATTATATCCTCGCATTTCCCGTAATCAAATGTCTATAATAGCTTCTTAATGTTTTTAACTAATCAATTTATTAATTATTTATCCAAATCGGTGTATTGACTACTTAATGAATCCCAACTTTCCAAACGCGTCCACCTTAGAAATGATCAAAACATTCCATCTTGTAATATACTCCACTACACTATATATACCCTTCAACACAAACCTTATCTTCCAACATTCTCATGCACCCCTCAAAACAACAACATCCATAATTCACATCTATTTCCACATCCATAATAGTCACATTTCATTTTACACACACCACCAAAAAAAGAACAATAGTAGAACTGAGGGTGTAGTAGAGAGGAAAGACACAAAATCAAATAAAGAACAAGCAATTTTGGCGAAGTTAAGTATTCAACATAGAGCTCATGGTCATGGTAGTCGCCACCATGCCACGTCGTCACAAGACAATGCCGGAAAACACTCTCGGGATCATCGCCTTCGACGCCGGCAAGACCATGTGCCACCTTATCTCCCTCTACAACTCCCTCTCCGACAAAGAAATCACCAAGCTTCACAACGAAGTGATCATATCCAAAGGAGTCACGTACTTGAATTCCCAACAAGAATGCTTCCTTCTCAACCTCGCAGCCGCTGAGCGCCTAGAGGAGCTGGACACAGCCGCGTCCACCGTCTCCATGTTAGGCAAGAAATGTTCCGAATTCAGCCTTTGTCGTTTCGATCTCGTTTATGCCGACCTCAAACTCGGGGTAATTGACCTCCGGAAGCTGAAGTACGGCACCAAAAGCGCAAAAAAGACAATTGACAAAATGGAGAAGATGGTCTCCTTCACCGCGAACCTCCACGCCGCCATGGATTCCATGACGGAGATGGAAGCAGCGGAGAAGAAGATACAATACTGGAAAACAAATAGCTTCCAGAAACCGAACTTGGAGAGTCTGAGCGAGAAGATATCGTTTCAGAGGAAGCAAGTGGAGCATTACAAGGAAATTTCATTATGGAACCAAAAATTCGAAAAAACCGTGGCGATTATGGCAAGGGTTGTAAGCATTGTCTATGCTAGAATATGCATGGTTTTTGGACCCTACATTGCTAATTGCAATAACAATAGCAATCTCTCACGTTTTCATCACTGTTCTTGTCTTCTAGAACACCGCGAATTGTACCAGAGAAATCGCTATCTCTCTGATCAATATGAGGAATCAATTCATAACCGTGTCGCGAAATCAGGTCCTATTCCGAAGATCACGAAAACAGGCGTCATCGGATTCCTTAACCACCGTCCTTCGCCACGTTTTGGTGCCGGCTATGGCGGCGGAGACGACGGTTGTGGTGAAGTGGAGAAAAAAGACGACAACAACAACAACAATAGCAATAAGGTTTTGAGGTTTGCGCCGCCGTCAACGGTGGGAGGGGCGGGGCTGTCGCTGAGGTATGCGAATGTGATACTGTTTGCGGAGCGGTGTCTGCACGCGCCGGCGACGGTGGGGGAGGATGAGAGGGAGGCGCTGTACGAGATGTTGCCGGCGAGTATGAGGATGAAGGTGAGGGCGAAGCTGAGGGGGCGGTGGCTGAAGGAGGTGGAGGAAGGAGAGGTTGGGCACTCGCTGGCGGAGGGGTGGCGGGACGCGGTGGAGGAGCTGATGGAGTGGTTGTTGCCGGTGGCACGTGACACGGTGCGGTGGCAGGCAGAGAGGTACCCGGAGAAGACGCGGTTCGAGACGAAGACGACGGCGTTGCTGCTGCAGACGCTGCATTACTCGGACTTGGAGAAGGCGGAGGCGGCGATCGTGGAGGTGTTGGTAGGGTTGAGTTGTATATATTCGTGTGAGAGACGGAAATAATTAGGCAAGGTTTAATTTGAATTATTTATTTATTTATTTATTTTTTATAATTACTAGTTACTACTAACAAATTAGTGATGAGTGGTAAGAACATTTTTGCATCTGGAGTTGTAGGTGCTTTAGTGTGTTTTTCTCTTTAGAGGATATGGGAATGGGAGGTAAACAAAAGGGAATATTTTACTAGGTTGGTGGTCCTTTAAGGATTTAAGTTTTGGGAACTATATTTAGTATATGTTTATATGTTGTCAAAATGATTTTTAATGACCATTCAATCTCTATTATGATGACTTTACTAAACCTTCTTCATGGCACATTAAATTCCAAGCGGAGCAAAGTTGCTTCCCTTATGAAATTCTTGAAAGATTGGGCAAATATGTAAGAAAGATTATCATCCTATACGGGAGAGAATATCAATTTCCAAAATTAACAAAATTATTAGGAGAATAAGAAAGTAGATGGGGGAATTTTTATTGATGGTGGAAAAGGTGAAATGAATAGCTTTGAAGTAGAAGATAATATATATGTGTAATTGACCAAAGATGCATAAATGCTTTTGTGATCAGGCTTAATATAGCCTAATATACTACTCAAAATTATTGGTCCTAAAGTTCAGCATACAAATTAAAATAATAAATACTAATCTCAACATTAATCTTAATGTTCAGCAACGAAATTATAGGAACGGGATTACAGTTTTGCTATGTCTAATTTGATATTTATCTATGTCAATTCCTTCCCCTGGAAAGAATCTTTGAACACAAGGACTGAAGGAAGGATATTTATGCAACAGACAATAATAAAATTACTAGTGTGTTTCTTCAACTGGTCAATTCTTCCACTAACACCAATACCTTGGTAAGAGGTTTACTTCCTCTGTTAACACTTAACAGTGACTCTATCCAGTATCCACGATAGCTCGAGGCTCTAGCTTTACCAACAAAAAAAGCATTGAGGGAACAAATCTTCATTACCATGTCACATGTCCACCCACCTCCGGATCCAGAAAATATCTTTTATGTTTGCATATATTTAGTGATAGCTGGCCCCAAAAATTTTTTTTAAAGAAAATTTTAAATACATTAAAAAACAAAAAATATAAATAAGAAAAAAAAAAAACTTCAACTTAACATTAAAAGTTATTCCAATTATTATTTTTTAATCAAGTTGATTTGTTGTATGACATCATAAAATATCCAATAAAATATATGTCATCCCATTTCATCCTACTGTATTTTATTCATTTCCATTTTATCCCTCATTATATATCCAAGAAAAACCTAATGTAACCAACATCATATTTGATTACTATACTTAAAAAAAATAAATCAGAAATTCATGTCTGCAAGTGCAGACATAGACGAACAAATAGGTCTGCTTGTGTCCACCCCATGAATGGAGTATAACACATTAAACATGTTTTGTTTTCGAAGAATGAGAAAAAAAATAATTTTAATATTTTAATTATATATTTTCTGAAATACATAATTTATAATTTTATTTTGAACTAGCATTGGAAGTATATTAGATTTTTCCATTGAGAAGAGGAGTTTTAGTAGTAGACCCCACATGTTATGTTTTTTTTTTTTTTTTTTTGGGATAAAGCATAAAAGAATCCCACATGTTTCTTTAGTTGTGATAACATGGAGGCCTTTGATCGTTGTAGTGGAAAAAAAATATAGCAATAGTTTAGTTCTTTTATCAATCTATTTACCTAATTAATGGAGTGAAACTCGCATGGGATATATGTATTCAACTCGCGTATCACAACAATACCTCATACATATTTAATTGTATTAGTTGGGTAAATAATTTGTCAAAAAAAACTAAATTGGTACTTTTTTATTTTTGTATACTTTTTTATTAGAGTTGTCAAAAAGCATAACATGGAAGGTTGGACGAACTTTATCATTAGCTGGCAATTCTAAATTATAGGCTATAGAACCTATTTTTGCAATAATATGATAGAGGCCATAGTATCTAGTTGACAATAGTTTAGAATTTCTCTTAACAACAGACATTTGTTTGATGTTTTCATTTTGAGAAATACCATATCACCAAATTGGAAAAATTTCTATCTCTCTTGTGCTCATCTGATTATTGCTTCGTTCTTTCTTAAATATCTCATTAACTGAAACTTTGAGGCCTTGAGCATCTTTCTGTTGGGTGCTCGAATGGTATTAATACTGCACTTTGGTAATTTGATTGAGGTTGGCTCTATAGCTTTTTTAAGTCCTTAGTTAATGTTTTTGAATTGTGCACAAGCTATATGATGAAATGCTTGAACCCTTAAACCTTTGGTGTTTTTCTCTTGTTGTTGATTCTTGAATGTTTTCCTGAATCTCTTGTCTATTTATCTAAGAATATGGACTTGTCTTTTTTCTTTTGTAGTAATGTTCATTGTTGAGATATTTGATAATTGTATATGTGAATATGTCCCCTTTCCTATTCATTTACATCATGATGTCTGACCTGTAATGGCACAACGCCCTGGTTTCTGCTTAAGACATCTTAAATTGATTTTAAACCTGCTCATGGTCTGAACTATAACTGACAGTTTGTTGCATGTTTACTCATTACAGTAAAAGTTTTTTAATGTGTGTGCTTGTTCATGCTGAGAGTGTGTCAATCTTGTTTGATTTTTTAGCATGAAAATTTTGTTGGCAAGAATAATATTCTTTTAGCCTATATTTTAGTTATAGTTCCTGTACGTCTTGATCGTATTTCCTTTGGTTTAAGTGTACCGCACTTTTTTCTTGATTAGTGTTGTTGTATATGATTACTCTCTTGGTACTCCATAATGCTAAAATTGGTTAATGGTTATCATGCATTTGGTTGGATATATTGACACTTTGAGGACATTAATCTGCTTAATTTAGAAGAGGCTGGTCATTGTCAACACAGGTGTGGTTAGAATTTCTCTACCACCTTTTGAAATGCATCTAAACCAGTCTAATGTAATTCTAAAGTGCATTTGAATTCATCTATTGTTCGTCTTGTATTAACCAAGCATTAAGATTTGGCTCCTAATCATCCCATTGACATCTCTATGCGCATATTGTGCCCAAATGCAGATTGTACATATGTATCCATGCCAAAATCTAAAAGCGTACTCATACATCTAAAAAGGCATATGTATACATCTTTTTTTGGTAAACGCGTATGTATACATCTTAATTGTCATATTGTTACGTGGATGTAAATTCTAATAGTTGTTAGTTAGTTTCTAATAGCTATTAGTTAGTTCCGTGAATAATGAAAGTAGTTAGAAGAGTCTGTTGAGTAGTATGTATTTGTTCTTGATATAAATAAGTGATGTAAACTCAGAATAATTCATTGAATGAAATCATCAGAAACTCTTTTGTTTTCCATCTCCTTCCTCTGTTTCTTGGGGTTAACCCCTAACATTGGTGCTTTCACTTCATCTTCACCATGAGGATGCAAGAACTTTCTGAAGAATTCAGTTCGTTTCAGCAACGTATGGATACCAATCTTGATGAGATTTGGGCTCAAGCGCTTGACACAAGGAACCAAATTTCCCTTCTGGTTTTTCGAATGCAATAACTTCAAGAAGTTACGCTTTCTCGCCATGCTTCGACGCGAGAGTCTCCTTGTGTGGAGCCTTCATCCTCATCTTCTTCAATTAGACAGTACGAGCACCATGATCAACGTTCGTTGCTTAAAGGGGTTCGTACGGAAATACTTGTGTTTAATGGAACTGACCCACACAATTGGATCTTCAAGGCCGAGCTCTTCTTCAATCTCCAGAACATTCCTGAAGAAACCAAGGTTTCACTCGTTTTATTAAAGATGGAAGGCGTGGCTGCATCTTGGTTCCAGTGGACTTTCAATAGTGGTAAGACTCGTTCTTGGAATGAATTCACTTCTGCCTTACGTCAAAGATTTGGTCCTTCTGGGTTTACTAATTTGAAAGGAACATTATCAAAGCTAACTCAGACCTTATCCTTGCGAGAGTACATACAACAATTTGAGGGGTTAATAAATCAAGCCCCTGAATTAGATGATGATTTGTTGATGCATTTTTCATATCTAGTTTATAATCAAATTTACGTAGTGTTGTTCAACTTTGTGAACTGGTATCCCTTCACCAATCGATCCAATTAGCCATGGCATATGATGATCATCACGAGGAACTCAGTGCTTCCTTCTCTTCTGGTTTGAAGAAGTTTTCTTCTAGAACTTCTGTTTCTGTTGACTGTACTCCTCACACAAGTCTTGTTTCGAATCAGATTCAACCCTTAGCATTGCCTTCTTTTTCAAATATTAAACGTATGTCGCATGAGGAGTTGCAGAGGAAGCAAACGTTGGGGCTATGTTATAGATGTGATGAGAAGTGGACCAGTAGACATATGTGTCAGTCCAAGTTAATGTTGTTGAAAGCTGATGATGTACCAAGGGATTCTGCGGTGGAGGATGAATAGATCCTTTAGCAAGCTGATCCACATATTGTTGAACCAAAATATGGATAATTTCTGTCGTTGCTATCCTCATCTGAACCTTGAGGACAAGGTTCCTTGTCAAGGGGAAGGGAATGTTACGTGGATGTAAATTCTAATAGCTGTTAGTTAGTTTCTAATAACTGTTAGTTAGTTCCGTGAATAATGAAAGTAGTTAGAAGAGTCTGTTGAGTAGTTTGTATTTGTTCTTAATATAAATAAGTGATGTAAACTCAGAATAATTCATTGAATGAAATAATCAAAAACTTTTTCGTTTTCCATCTCCTTCCTCTATTTCTTGGGGTTAACCCCTAACACATATATGACTGTTATCATGATTAATTTTGAGTATTTTATCTTTGACATATTAAACTCTTCAAAATGGTAAAAGAATGATAGATATAATTTAAAATAAAATATAAATAATGGAAAGTGCACAAGGTGACCATTTAAGATCCTCCTTATTAGTGGCTGTCTAAAATTTTCATATCAAAAACACAATGAAAAAGCTGAACTAAGCTATGCTTAGTCTTGGGCTCTTGGCTTACTAAGAAATTAAGTTCATTGTTTTTGTCTATTTTTCTAATGTAATGATAGCACTGAAATTTGGATTTATAACTCCTAGTAAATTATTTATGCCCCTCAACATTATTTCGCCTCTAGTGACTTTTTGTCTCTAGCTTAATATATATAATA